GACGCCCTTTGATGCTTTGCATCAATGCTGTTCTTGTTTAGTTCTGTTTTAAAGTAAATCTGCATTAGAATATAAGCTCTGACTTTTAAAACACTTCTTGCAATCTTAAGGTATGACTATCCTAATGCATTACCTCCGTGTTGAAGAGTATTCAAATAAGCTAGTACTACTGTTAAATACATTGAAACTTAGGGCCGAGGGTTCAAACCCACGAAGGTCCAACTTGTTTCCCTTTTATTCTTTTTATATTATTTATGTTTCTCTATTCCCTTTTGGTTAGAAAAAAGTGTTTAATTTTTATTACCGGTATTTAACTAATATAGGTATTTTTGGCTAAATAATGCTAAATGTTATAACAAATATGGTACCTGATATTTTCAAAGTGCAATACAATTTAAACTAAACGGTAAAAGTATTTAATTTTTTACAAGATCAACTAATATAGATTTGAGAAAATTAAGTAAAACTTTGAAAACAGGCAGTCATTTAAGTAAATTTGAGATATTATTTTAATTAGACTCTTAAAATAGGAAATTGGTCCAAACCGTGTTAAAAATGGTTGGGGTAGGGTAACATTTTTATAAATATTTCAGAAATGTTGAGTAGAAACAATCATTTTTGCTTATGTGGATTGTAAGTTAAATGTTACATTGTGTTTCTCATAAAAAATTAATGGAAAAAATGTTTTCATCAGAATGATATTGTACATTTTTTAAAGGTTCCTTATTTCTAAAAAAAGGCCCTTCTAACATCCAAGGTAAAATTCAGTAAAATGGCTATTACTCGATTTCCGTACGGTAAAGTTTGTTTAAATTTTGCATACAAGTGTCTTTTAGGGTACATATCTGACATATGGTGTCAATTTTTCAGTTCCTTAAAGTGCCCGTTAGGATGGTCATACATTAACCAATATATAACAGAAATATATGGAAATTTGAGGAATTGTTGTTAATAAAACTTACTTTGAATACAAAAGTGGATCACGGATAAGGTAATGAAATATTTACTAATAATTGTAGTTGTAATAATATATAAATATTTATTTCAAACGCGACAATCTATTACCACAGAGAAATTGTGCTACGTAATTCAGTGGTAACAAAATAGTGCATTGAACCAACATGTCAAAATTTTTAGAAAAAAATGAAGGAAATGTGTCTCTTAATTGTCTGAAAAAGTGATTTGGCTGGTTCATATGGTCTTTTTTCATTATGGATTGTGTTATTGATTTAAAGAACGGCAAAATTGTTTCATGATTTTTATGATTTTGTTCCCTTTAATTCTTTTTAAAATTAATTTCTAAATTATAATGGATATAGGTAGTTCTCAGCAAGATTTCAATTTATCTAATTCTTTCAAAAAATGAACCAAATCCCGTAGAAGAAGAATTAGCAGACACATGTAGCTTCTAAAAAACAAACGATAACAAAATAAAGGGAAGTAACACATTGCAAGGCAGCGAACCGTGCTGAAGGGTGCTGATTTTTTAAAAAGATTATCACAACTTTGAATGACCTTACTCTATTGAGAGAGCACATAGGCAATGGGTGTTTCAACGTGGCAATTATTGCGCTTTCATTTATTATTTCTAAAAATCTTTTTATATTTGGTGTCCTGTTATTATTTCCAAAATGTAAATTATTTGACAACAACCTGATGCATATTTATTTTTGTGTTGCTTTCTTTTAATAAGTGCAGCTATAGTGATTTAGTATGGAAGTCAAAATAATACTTTGTTTACATTTTGCTGATTTTATGACACATAACTTCACATACAGCACTACTTTCTTCAAGTAATAAGCATCTTACATGATCTAAATTCATTTTTAAAACATTATAAAACTAATACGTGTAACTTTGCTGCGTTTGAACAAACCATTGAGAAGAAAAGTAATTTCTTTAGAAGAATGTAATGATATGAGGATGTTATTGTCAGATACATTAAACGTAAAAAACGGCAAAAGGCAGGGCGCACGTGACATCAGTAATCTATATGTTTGTGTTCCTCATTCTCAGTTCAGTCAGCCAGGTAGAAGTGAACGTCTTTTGTGTGCCTATAACCATTTTGGTCTTATGTCTATGGAAATAACTACAACACCTGATTTGGCTTTTGCGCAGTGTTCGGTTCAAGCACCTACACCGCCCCCGGTCCATGCTGTCAGAGCACACACTTCAGACAAAATTGTCCATACGTGAGAGGACCAAGTCGAATAGTATGACCGAACAATCTCCAGTCGCCAGAAAATGAGTTTATTGGACTTTAAAGATAAGTATGATAATGAAATTTATGAATTATAAGCATTGTACTCATGGTTTTTATGAAAGTATGGACAAGAGCAATAACATATGATTGACAAAGGTAAACTCAGAAAACATGCCTCATTATGGCGCGATATTGGTGCCTATGAATTTATTTTGAATGAGATAGAAAGGGGATATAAGGTATCTCTGTATTCGCCCCAAAACAGAATATCTTGTAAAAAAGCAATTCTACTTTTTTAGCTGCATGCCTCCAAATGAATCAAAATATTTCAAAGAAAATCAAAACCTGAGAAAAAAGTATTGAGATTTTAAGAAAAATAAAACAATTCAAGATGAAAGTAATAATGTCCATGTTATGTGGGATTTATGATCAATTTTTGCAGTTTATTTCAACATATTGCTTTTGCGTTACTAACCCAGTAAGGTTATGTTTTGTATATTTTTGACCTTTTTTGGTAATTAACCTGGGCAGTAAGTGCTGTTTGCAGTGTGGAAGTTATTTTCTTTGTTCACGTCAAATATTTTACTTTTCATATATTGTTAATATTTTCATGAAAATTAGCATGAATCTGGGTGCTGCATTAACTTTTTATCTGAAGCAATTCAAGATTTGTTATATAGATATTTAATAAGAAAAGACAGATACTAGATTTACATGAAAGTCAAGAAACATTGGTGGAAGCAGCCGTAAAATATGAAGATATAAAAGCTACCTTTGCAGGATTTTTATCATAAAATTCTACTTGTGTTTTACCATTTTGTGGAAATATTTCTCACTGAGTATTTAGGATTTTTCTGAGAGAGAATAAGGGAGGTTACACATGTAAGGGGTATGTTCACTGAGGCTATGAAGCCACATGTTACCGATGTGAAAAAAATACCGTCTTCATTCTTTGAGATCTGGAGGGCTTCTATTGTCGCAAATAATGGCGTGAAGGTCATTATTAAAAGGCAAGACCGTTAGGAGTTAGTCTAGTTAATCTGCAGAAGATTGTTAAATATAGTTTTCATGAGCGTTTGTCAGTGTCAAAAAGTTAAGGGGCTGTGAAACAAAACAGTTTGCAGAACAGTTTTTTCAGCGTATATGCTTTTTTATTATGTGATTATAAGAATATTAGTATGCAATTGAAATCTACTAGAAATATTAATGTCCCCGTTCTCTTTTCATTCAGTCCATTGTTTCAAACGCTTAAACTCAATAAAGTATATGCGTTTTTATTTTCAGTTTGTTGTATGTGTTTATCTTACAACAGATCCAGGTCTGGTTGTCAAAGATGAGGGGGCTAAGTATCCTTTTCCGTCTGATATAGTCATTAAAGGTCAATATAGTAATGGAACGTGCGTGAATATAGTGGTACATGAGGATATCCTTTAATTAAACTATGGAACTCTTTCATCTGTTTTTTTTTCTAGTACCACGTGATTGTACAATACAATATCGCGACCTGTAATCCGGAACGCACGCAAACCGGGATCGTATCAAACATAGATTGAAATAAATAACTGCCTAGGTTTTGTTTGCATTAAAATTGATTAATTATATGATATATAAGAGGGCAAATGTATCAATTTAAACTTTAGCTTGAAATATGATTAAGCCTACTCATCGACGAAAATTGATATACGACCCTGGAAATACCAGTAATTTTCCGAACCAAATTTGTGACACGTTTTACTAACTGGAGGCCGGTGGCTTTAATAAGCATCAAATACATTTTTATTTAATTACAGCTACACCAGAATTTATATGACATTAAGTAGAGTAGTGTTATTTGACTGAACAGTGATGTTTCAAAGTATCGATTGTCATCTTGAACCCCACCTTAGATATTTCAAGGCAGCTTAGTCAGTACTCAGTATTTAAGAACTCAGTTGACACCTTCAGAAATTTGGAACATACATACTTTTAGGTTCATTTCTTGATTGACCACAAATTCATTTTGACTCTTAAGTTGTGAAGTTTACTGTACTTTGTTTGAACCCTAAAGTTGGTTCGACCCAATAGTGAGCTGTGAAGTTTACTGCTTGATAAGACTATCATTATGTAAAGTTAAAAGATGATTTTCTTAAGACTTTCCGAGTAATGCTCCGAACGAAAGCTAAGGAAGAACATAAGAAAAAATAACTAATTATGGAAAATAACAAGGTCAATAACTTAAAAAATAAAAAAGGGGTATATTATTCCCTCCGGGATGAGATATATCAAAATATGAAGTTTCATGTAGAAACCTAAAATATAGTATATTTTGCTCTGGACAAAATATAAAACTAATATAACAAAAAATTTGGACAATAACTGAAACAAATCTTGGTAAAGTTCTCATGTTAAGCACAAATTGTTCGTCTTTTCTTGAATATAACAACTTATTTAAGTGAACCTAAAAAATCATCCAACAGGTCAGCAGTAACAATGTTGCAGGGCCGGTTTGATTGAGCTTCTAATGGATAGCAGTGGTTGATTTAAAATAAGAATATGGTATAAAAAACGTTTGTAACACATACAGAAGCATAGTAAAATTTGTTCATTTCGTTTCAATATACTAGTTACACAGTAATTTGACACAAATTAAATAAAACAGTCACTGATAAGTCAGTTATTATGACTATGAATCATTGGATCTAAGTACATTTGCGCTGATAAACTAAACTAATAAGAATGATATTACATTCTTTTCTTGATCAGTACAAAAAGAATTCGTGTATTATTATCTTTCATTACGTTCAAAAATCAGAACATAATAAGAATTGAAAAAAGTTGAAATATAAAATCACAACAGTTATTCGCATATTAATTCATTTGCGTTTCGAGCATTATTCATTTGTTTCATTGTTTAAACATAACATTGTTTTACTATTGAGATATTGATATTGTTTAAATCATTTGTGGTTGATACATGATTGTTGCACGAAACAAAGGTAATGAAGATTGATTTATATTATTTCTATTGTTTTAATCATCATAATAATTATTATTAGAGTTATCATTAGTATTATAGCTTAATAAAACACTTTCGATTCCATTGTCATATCCTACTGTACGTCTGCTGTCGTTGCTTCTAACTTATCTCTGTGTTTTTAACTAATCAAATATTCTTAAATTATTTATTTGTAGATTAAGCAACAGCAATGACTGTGCTATCGTTTGCCGTGTTGTTATCAGTTTTAAGTCTTGTCTCGGGATGTGTAGATGATACAGATTGTATACTGCCTGACGGACAAGTTGGACAATGTCACTTGCAAAAATGTATTCGACAACTCGATGACAACGCAAATGAATATCTAACATTCACTATCAGAGTAAAATATCCAGAATCTGTTCTGAAGGTAACGCTTGGTCCGTCTATATAATCTTTTTCTCTCCTTTTACAATTTCTAAATACATGTTTAAGAAGGTCATAAGATTTAATAGCATTATAAGATGTGATGTCTAAGATCTTGACACAAATCTCCTCAACCCTTTTAGATGCATGTACTCATAAAGGACAGTTATATGATTAAGCGCATATTCTTTCTATAACAATTTCTGCTTGTCATCGTCATGCTCTGTCATTTTATTATTAATTTATTTAGGTCCTTGAATGGGTATATGGTGTATAAATAAACAGACATCATAATCCTAAGGATCTACGAGGTCGGGTCAATGTGTATTGCAATATGAGGTGTATATTCTAATTTAGTTTTGTAAACTATGCTATGCTTAAAGCACTTGCTTTCAACATTAGGACGTATCCCATGCAACACCTTACGGATATATCTATTTGAGTTTATTAGACTTGCTAGAGCATGTAGCCGTACCGTAACAACGATTCTAATGAGCGGAAATTTTTCAATAGTGGTATCAAAACACAAAGAATTAGCAAACCCGCTTTTTAAGGGGATGTAATTTACAAACTTCGTAAGATCTTGGGTCATAGTAATTGTTCTGCTGTCTTCACTAAAACTATAAAACGTTTTATTTAAATAGGTTATATTCGTCAGATGTATGTCTTGTTAATTGTTACATACAATGCCATTTTTGACATTATTTTTTTCGTGTACGGAAGGAATCTCCCTTTTGCCCTCTATTGTTTCAATGTCCTTCCTGTCCCCTTCTCCAGCGCCCTTGTCCTTTTGTAGGTCTTTTATTTAATTCTGATCTTTGGATTTATGATTTCTTATTTTGAATGTTTTGTGGTGTCGAACCTTCCGCTTTTTCCTGTGTACCATGTTTCGGTGTCCTCCCGTGTTTGGAGATGCGTTCATTAAATACTGCTCTTCCTTGTTGATCTTGTTAAGTATACTCGTATTTTACATCATCTACAGAACTCAAACAAAACTAGGTAGATCTGCTATAAATGTTTATATTGATATTTGTAATAATGATGGCAAGAATGGAGTATCTTATGCACCCTTTTCTAGGTGGATGCATAGATTCAATAATGGGCACAAGTCAATTAAAGATGCTCTTTAAGTATTGTAAAAACGGTCCATAGTTGTGTTAGAAAGCATTACTAAATTTAAGCTTATCATTGACAAAGATGCCAGACTTTCACTCACCAAGATATCCCATATCACACATCAAATGGGTCAACTCATACGATTATGAAGAATCACTTCAAATGTGATGGATACCCCGAACTCTAACATCTGACTTAGAAAAGAAACGAGTTAAATGTGCTAAAATACTGAACATATTTCCTAAATATTGCAACTGTTGATATAAACTGGTTTCAAAGTTTTACGCCAGTTCGCACGTGTAACAATAAGTTTTGGGCCACCAGAAATGTTCGTCGACCATGCATTGCCAAGCGATTGATTCCCTAACGAATGCCCAAAACAACAAATTCGGAAATGTTGCAGGGTTGGTTTAATTTGAGCCTGTTCATGGACGGTACAGGAAAGTGCAAGTTACCGCCAAAGCCACCTAGCACCGGCTTAAGCAGAATTCAACATTTAAACACGAGGATGATTATATTTTGAATTGGAAGACATACAAAGCTCGTTCTCGACTGATATAAAAGGCCTCAATTTGCCACATGACAATGCCCCTACACACAAAGGAACTACTGTATAATTGATTCTTTTTGTTGAAAAAAAAAAACGAGTGATTTTTCCAAAACAATAGCCGTATCGTCCAGCCCCTTGATCTTGATACATGAGAAGAGAAGGACTTGGGTCTGTCATTTTTCAGTTACTGAAAAATATACCTAAGGAGGACTATTTTGAAGCGTTTATAAATTTGATTAAACAATTTAAATTTATACATTATGATATTATTTTTAAGGTATGAAATAGAAAATTTACAAAAAATGCTCTTTTATTAAATCAACTGATCATATTGCATTACACAATGACCCACCCTCGTATAAATTATTATTCGTCATTTCTCGATAATTCTATATCAAGATTGCTTAAAAAGAATAACTTCATAATGTCATACTTTGAGCCAAAAAATATAGAGTACGAGCCCTTTACGAATATTTGATTCTCTCTTTTATATTTTGCTAGATTCATGGAAGAACGTCTTTATATATACGAGGTAATGGACTTGGATTACTTTGGACCAAAGGCAATCAACTTTCTAAGACAGGCCATGACACGTGGGACATAAATATCACGTACATATCGTCTTTAGATGGATATCAGTGTAAATTTTGTTTAGATAAAGATTACCTTCCTAACAAGAAACTTCAATATCGTGTAATGGCTGACGATCTTCAGGACATGATTGGAGCTAACTTTGCTATTCACCTGCCTGTTTCCGAGGTGTCATCATATTTTGAAACAGTTCCTGTCTTTTCGGTTTACCCTTGGTTCTTTACATATACAGGTGTTATAGACAGTTTTGTTATAAACTCTACGAATCTCGGCGAAGAGAAGAACATAACTCTTTATACACCTCCTAGTTTTAATGAAAACGTTTATAAAACTTATCCAACTGTCTTTGTCTTTGATCTCAATTTAGAATATGCTAAATCTTTCAAGAAGAAATTTGAAGATCCGATTTATCCACATGCCGTTGCCGAAGAATTTGTTCTGATAGGCTTTGGTGATTATACATCTAATGGTAGAGAGAGAGTTGATCTACTGACACCATCGGCTGGTCCAGCTTTAGACTGTATTAATGGCACACTTCGTGATAATTGTGACGGATGTATTCCTGAGGCATTGAGCACCAACATCACAGCGTTTATTAAGTATCTCGAGGAAACATGTGGAAAATATTATAATAAAGGAGGTCTAGGTGACAATACACTGGATTTTCTAGAAAAAGAGGCTTTCCCAACTGCCAACCAACTCACGTCTACGAGATTGCAAAAAGATAATATTGGTGTGATGGGATATTCTTTAGGAGGGCTTATGTCTTGCCATGCTGTTTGGACACGTCCAGATGTGTATTCATTTGCTGCCTGCCAATCACCTTCTTTATGGTGGCCGATGAACACTTTCAGTCATAATGTTAACGATTTTGATTTCTTAAATAAAACTCTTAAAAACCCAATATTTCAAACAAAACGTCCGGAGCAAAGAATTTATCTTGATGCAGGAGGGGCGGAAACTCCAGAGCCATACAGTCTTACACAAACTACTGTAGAAGCGGCACATGCAATTTCCAGCTTCGTACACTATGAATTAAACAGAAATGTTTGGGTAGCCGTTGATCCGAACAAAAATCATTCTTTTGTAGAATGGGAAAGGCGTATTGGCCAGGCTTTGACTACATTATTGCCGGCCCATGGTTCTAAAGGCATGCCGTCAATAGATGCTTCACCAGTTGGGTGACATGATAGAATTGCTCTTTGAAATATACGAAGAAAACAATAAATTTAAATTGATTTGAAAATTTGTTTAATCTTTAATCAGGTCATAGATTTTTTTTGTGTGAAACTGCATTTGAATACATGCTCTAACTTTTAAAATACTCCTTAAAATCTAAATCAACTTATGTTAAAATATGTTGAAATTCGGGGAATTGTTACATAAAGTTTCCTTTGAATAATTATATCTTTAAATAATGTGAATCACGGAAAAGTTAATGAAGTATTTAATCATTTATGTTTTTCAACACGATTAATTGTAGTTGGTAAAGACAGTTTATTTCAATCGCCCAGCCTTTTGTTTAAATATAATGCACCATGACATTCAGCTGTATCAAAATATTCTGTTAGACCTACATGTTTCAGCATTTTAAGAGACCGTGGAAGAAAATGCTTTGAATGGTCTCTTAAACAATGTGGTCTCTTATCAGAAACAAATTGTGTTTGATTCATATGAGCTGATAACAATGTGTTGTGTAATTATAATTGATATCAGTTATATTTGAGCTAAAGAGTTTTTCGGATTATTCTTAACAATGATATCCAGTCTTCTTCAGTACATTTAGTAGAAATACCTCAATTTCTTCAACCTAAAAATAGGTGCCCGCCAGGGGTAATGTAGTCCAGTTCTTTTTACATGGTGCATTAGGAGTAAATTAGGAGAAAATTTAAATGATATTTTGACTAATGAAACCTGGGATTAACTATTGGTTTTAAAGTACGCAATCGATACAATTATATTGTCAGATCCAAATTTTCAAAAATGTTTGTCTTTCATAATTCATACTGTAATGAACGGAAATCTGCCAAAAACCAAAAGTAGAAATGCAATAAATCAGACTTATGAATTGATTTTTAACTCTGTTATGCCTACTTTAATCTACGAATCTGAGATATTCGGCTAAGATAATCTAGAAGTTATTGAAAGAAGTCTATAACATATTTATTCGGGTATTTTCTTGTTGGGTGGTTCCAGTATTCCTCACTTGAATACTGTTGAATCACCCTTAATATATGTGGTCTGCTTTTTAAATTTGTCGTTTGACGTCTTATCTGTGATATGCAGGCTTCGAAACCTCTGATCCCCTTTCATAATTCCATTTTGTTTAGTTCCGCCCATAGTTTTCTCGTTATGGCTTACACGTTTTGTTACTTGGGGACTAATGCCGCTTTTCATGGAACTGCACTTACGTGTCACATTGAAAGTTCAATGATTACCGCCATATGAACACATCTGCGGTTAATTCAAAATTCAAAATTGTTCCAGTTCATATTCTGCTTAAGCCGGTGCTAGGGAGGTGTGGACGTTATTTGCACTTGGCAGTACCGTCCATGAACAGACTCAACCAAACCGACCCTGCAACATTTTCAATTTTGTCGTGCTTTCTTAAGGGATTCTTATTTTCTCTTTTTTTTAGAAAATAAACTGTGCTAGGAAAGGCTCTTCAAATTTATGCTTCTTTGTGAACTAGGCAGATATTATGTACTCTAGGATGATAAATTTCTGTGTTAGACTTAAAGTAAACTTTCCTATTTTCTGTACCGATTCATAGTAAATCTTTCAGAAAGAAGTGTTAAATGGTTAATAAATTTAAGACATTTAAATTTTGTAGCTAGGACTTACTTATGGATTAACCAACATACATGTACAGTCGTAATAAAAGTACCCCATTTCGATTTAAACTAACTTTAATAGATCAATATAAACAAATATGGCAAGATCAAAAACAAAACAAAACAAATAAATAGGTTTAAAAAAAAAAGAGAAAAATATTTAAATTTAATTCCATGGATTGATTTCATTACCCTGTACAACTTAAAACATGTAAAAAAAGAAGAAGAAAAAGATCATCAATACGGAATGCCGTTAGGGCCATCGCCTATGAATGTGTTGATCTGAAACGCGATAGTCGATAGTACGATGGTGAAAACGCGAAATCACGAAACTACGATGGTGAAAACGCGAAATTACGATGATGAAAACGCGATAGTACGATGATGAAAACGCGACAGTACGATACTACGATGATGAAAACGCGATAAACTATCGTGTTTTCACCATCGTACTGTCGCGTTTTCACCATCGTAGTTTCGTGATTTCGCGTTTTCATCATCGTACTGTCGTGTTTTCATCATCGTACTTTCGCGTTTTCACCATCGTACTATCGCGTTTTTATCATCGTACTGTCGTGTTTTCATCATCGTACTATCGCGTTTTCACCATCGTAATGTCGTGTTTTCACCATCGTATGATGAAAACGCGACAGTACGATACTACGATGATGAAAACGCGATAAACTATCGTGTTTTCACCATCGTACTGTCGCGTTTTCACCATCGTAGTTTCGTGATTTCGCGTTTTCATCATCGTACTGTCGTGTTTTCATCATCGTACTATCGCGTTTTCACCATCGTACTATCGCGTTTTCATCATCGTACTGTCGTGTTTTCATCATCGTACTATCGCGTTTTCACCATCGTACTGTCGTGTTTTCACCATCGTACTGTCGCGTTTTCACCATCGTAGTTTCGTGATTTCGCGTTTTCATCATCGTACTGTCGTGTTTTCATCATCGTACTTTCGCGTTTTCACCATCGTACTATCGCGTTTTCATCATCGTACTGTCGTGTTTTCATCATCGTACTATCGCGTTTTCACCATCGTACTCTCGTGTTTTCATCATCGTACTATCGCGTTTTCATCATCGTACTATCGCGTTTTCATCATCGTAGTTTCGTGATTTCGCGTTTTCACCATCGTACTATCGACTATCGCGTTTCAGATCAACACATTCATAGGCGATGGCCCTAACGGCATTCCGGAATGCCGTTAGGGCCATCGCCTATGAATGGTTTGATCTGAAACGCGATACTCGACAATACGATGATGAAAACGCGAAATCACGAAACTACGATGGTGAAAACGCGACAGTGCGATGGTGAAAACACGATAGTTTATCGCGTTTTCATCATCGTAGTATCGTACTGTCGCGTTTTCATCATCGTACTATCGCGTTTTCATCATCGTAATTTCGCGTTTTCATCATCGTAGTTTCGTGATTTCGCGTTTTCACCATCGTACTATCGATTATCGCGTTCCAGATCAACACATTCATAGGCGATGGCCCTAACGGCATTCCGTACATCAAGGCAAAGGCAACGTTAACAGGATGTAACACAAGACTTCCCTAAGAGACGGGTCGCTATGACGGTGCCGCTTATTCAAGACAAAACCAGCCTTTGTAGTTAGACACAGAATTACCTAACATTTTTAATTGTAGCTTTTTATATAAAGTAGTATGTAACTTAATTCGATAACGAAAATATTGTTCTTGAACCTAATTAGAAGTACCACTAAATGTGATTAATACCCCCCCCCCCCCCACCGCAAGACTGCTTCGGAAATGAGGATGTTACTAGTAAGTTAGTAGCAGAATACCTTGTAAAGAATTGAAATATGGTTATGGTTGTGGGCAATTTAGGATAGTTGTGGTTCTTGTGTGTTGCATTTCCTTTCAATGTGGTTGGCAATTGATGAAGTTTTTTTTAGATTACTCTGTAATAAGTCCAGAAAGACAAGGAAAAGGAACAAAGGGCAATAACTCTATAAATACTGAAGATTGAGTTAAAGTTATTGTACACTGCACTTCCTCTCATTGCGCTGGACCATCGTATGAAGTTGTATTGAATTCCAACTACTAGTTTTCAAGTTATGCACTGGAAAAAAAAGTTACAAAGGCAAAAACTGTTATTAGTCCAAATAAAGTTATTGTTCTTGTGCACTGCACTTCATCTCACTGCCCTTGACCATTGTATAAAGTTTCATTGAATTCCAACCATTAATTTTCAAGTAATGCACTGGACAATAAAAAGTAACTAAGGGCAAAACCTTTTAAATTAGTCAAAAAAGAGTTATGGTTTCTGTGCACTGCACTTCCTCTCAATATACTTGACCATTGTGTGAAATAGTAGTTTTCAAGTTATGCTCTGGACAAGAAAAAAGCAATGGAAAAGTATCAAAGGGCAATAACTCTATAATCACTCTGGACAGAGTTATAGTTCTTGTGCTTGACCATTGTATGAAGTTGTTTTGAATTCTAACCAGTAGTTTTCAAGTTATGCTCCGGACAAGGAAAAGTAACAAAGGGCAGTAACTCTGTAATTAGTCAAAATTGAGTTATGGTTCTTGTGCACTGCACTTCCTCTTATTGTGCTTGACCATTGTATGAAGTTGTTCTAAATTCCAACCAGTATATGTGAAGTAATGCTCCGGACAAGCAAAAGTATCAAAGGGCAATAACTCTGTAATTTGTCAAAATTGAGTTATAATTCTTGTGCACTTCATTTCTTCTTAATGTGCTTGACATCTGCTTGAAGTTGTATTGAATTACAACCGGTAGTTTTCAAGTTATGCTCCAGACAAGGAAAAGTAACAAAGGACAATAACTCTGTCATTATTCAAGATGGAGTTATGGTTCTCATGCACTGCACTTCCTTTTAATGTGCTTGACCATTGTATGAAGTAATATTGAATTCCAACCATTAGTCTTCAAGTTATGCTCCGGACAAAAAAGCAATGGAAAAGTAACTGAGGGCAATAACTCTGTATTTAGTCAAGATGGAGTTATGGTTCTTGCGCATGGCACTTCCCCTTATTGTGCTTGACCATTGTATGAAGTTGTTTTGAATACAAACCAGTAGTTTTCAAGTTATAGTGCGGACAAAAGAAAGTCATGGAAAAATAACAAAGGGTAATAACTCTGTAATTTGTCAAAATGGAGTTATGGTTCTTATGCACTGCACTTCCTCTCAATGTCTTGACCATTGTATGAAGTTATTTTGAATTCCATCTATTATACTTCAAGTTATAGTGCGGACAAAAGAAAGCCATGGAAAAATAACAAAGGGCAATAACTCTGTTATTACTTTAGAAAGAGTTATGGTTCTTGTGCACTGCACTTTCCCTTATTGTGCTTGACAACTGTATGAAGTAATTTCGAGTTTCAACCAGTAATTTTAAAGTTATGCTCCGGACAAGGAAAAGTAACAAAGGGCAATAACTCAGTTATTAGTCAACATGGAGTTATGGTTCTTGTGCACTGCACCTCCTCTTAATGTGCTTGACCATTGTATGAAGTTATATTGAATTCCAACCATTAGTCTTTAAGTTATGCTCCGGACAAGTAAAATGCAACGGACCGCTGGACCGACCGACCGACCATCGGGTGACTCCTATATGCCCCCAAACTTCGTTTTTGGGGGTATAATATAGACACCATTTGTCAAAACTTTTGAACCCGTTATCAAAATTCTAATTATACTCCGTTACTAGAATACTAACGCTTCAAATGATAATGTCCATAACGCATAATTATATAAACTAAGGATGAGAACATTGACGGAAATGAAGTCCCATATTTAGCTATTATTTATATGCTCGCATATTCATGAACTTCCAGCATTTATATAGAAGATACAATGTATTTTTAGTTTTTATGAAAGATAAAATTTATTTCTACGAACAGTGTTCTCACGAGTGGCCTATCAACCGCCTCCGTGGTCGATGGGTTAGAGTCGATGACTTCTAATCCAGTAACCTCTCTGGTGTGGGTTAGATCCCCGGATGATGCTTTAGTAGTTTAGCGCGGAAGATGGTAGTCTAGGACTGGTGTAACTCACCAGGAACGATGGTTAGGAAACTACCCGCCTATATGACTGAAATAATGTTGGGAAAATGCGTAAAATAAAACAATCAAACAGAACAAAAGGTTTATCTGGATATACTTTTCTAATAACTTTTCAACCCGATCTATTATTTGAAAATATCGATATGTCTCTGTGTCAAAGAAATTATCTTAAATTGCCTCTAAATTTTCGGGATTATATCTCAGTCCCAAAATTGCAGGTATATTATTGACAGAGGGACAGACGTCAGAATGATTGTTTTTAAATAATGTAAGGGAGGTAACTTGTAAATTACATAGGTAGGTTTATGGGGCATCACGTGGGATTCTTTAAATAAATAATTTTCACTGTAAAAATTATTGAATGTAATGTTTATGTATAAATCAGTATACCACTCAAACGCATAAAACAAAAAAATATGCATAATTATGCTGTTTGTTGTTTTCTACGCGAATTCTTTATTTACGATCGTTGTGTCTCAAAATTCCTTCAAGATTAGATTAGATTCAAAACAAATTTGAATAATAGTTGTTAACGCATACATGTTTTTATCCAAGGTCATGATTTGTATGGATGAAGCGTGACATGAATGTTACTTATAAATGAAAATTTCAAGATTATTATTAAACGATATATTTGTTAACATATATACAATTTGATTGAAGTGTTAAGTTTATTCTCCTAATTTTTTTAATATTTTTATATCTTTTTTATATTTAAACTATAATGTTTTCTATGTTTAACTATTTAGATTTACAAATGCTGAATTCCCAAACCCTCGCCCCTTCATATCAAAAACATTTATATACAATATATTGCGTACAAATATTAGGATTGAATGCTGGAAAACTAATGTTTCATACTCAAAATATTTAAAAAAACATGATATTGTACACATGTGTGTGAGAAGATATAGTTAAATGTCCGTCTGTCTGTCTGCCTGTCTGTAGTGAAATGAGTACTGCAACGAATATAAAACAGTATAAAATATCCCAACTCCTCACAGTGATTTGATTGGTCTTGCTCAAATCAGTGCCTTCACAAACTTCTTTAACCATAGCAAACGTCATGTGACTTTAATATGGAGGCTACAAAAAACTACGCCAAAGAAAACTCTTTCAGACGAAAATGTCTTTTTTGAAATAAAAACATACATTATTCGACTTATTTAAAGAATATAAATCTAATCATTCATAAACTGAATAATATTATTTTAAATCACAAACATCCTAACTATACAAAGAGTAACAACCTGTTACATACATGCCCAAAAGTATCCTCCTAGTAATACCTATATTTTTTTCTTTCTTTCTTCAATTAAGGCAGATTAGGAAAAATGTCATTATTCAATAACATACTTGTATAAAGGTAGATAAATCAAAATCGAAATGTTTGTTTCTGTATAAGATATTAAATATTTTGTGAAAGCAGTGGTCTGTGTAGTGAAATAAAGGGGCCAGCTGTGCGGGATTTTGTAAAATATCTCGTTAATTTTCCAATTTGAAAGCTTTTTGGGCTAACCAAAGTGGTAAATGCTAGACTGATTTAAACATTTGAACATTTAGTTTCGTTTCCATATCAAAGTAAGACAGAAATTTGACATATTGTATGTAAGAAATAAAATATTTTGTCAGTTATTATCAGTATGGCATTGTTTTATTGATTTGAAGTACAGTTGCACTGATAAACCTATAGCAGTCTAATAAAAACGTTAAATTAGTGTAAAATTCCTTTGTTAATCAGTACAGAAAGAATCCTTGTACTGTTATCTATAAGTACAGTGTCAAAACAAACACCAGAACAAATACGGCGTTAGTTGATAAATACTATCTAAACACTTTGTCATGAAAATCTAATGTTTTTGCAATTGCTGATCACATTATGGTATTGTTTGATTTGTCAACGTGGAAAAAATAGAGTCAAGAAGTTTTCTGTGATAATGTAGTTGTTTCATGCTATGCCAAACGAATATATTGTGACATTTACTTTTTTGAAAGAAAAAACAACACGCGGACATACATGTTCAAGAACAAATTGACTCAATTTCTGCTTCATTTACTTATATTTAATCTCTGTAGAACAGCAATGACTGTGCTATATTTCATCGTGGTATTTTCAGTTTTTAGTCTTATCTCCGGATGTAAAGTGAATACAGATTGTTTACTGTCTACCGGACACGTTGGACAATGTCATCTGAAGAAATGTATTCGACAACTTGAGGACATCACAAATGAGTATCTGAAATTCACAATCAGAGTGAAATATCCAGAGTCTGTTTTAAAGGTAACAATATATCCGTTACGTTAATTTATTTGCGTATACATGTATTTCACGGATAGTAATTTAATGATAAAAGGCCTATAACATTAGGAGTATAAGACGCGATCCATTAGACCCCAAGAAACATCTCCTCATCCCTTTTAGTTGCTTTCAGCAATTAAGGTCAGACAGAGAAGTTGGTCATTTATATGTTCTATTTCTGTCTCTGCTAGACGTTTAGCAGGAACTGCAAGGCGTTTTTAACTTTTTATGTTATTAAGCTCATTGTATATGGAGGTATGATACAAGGTACCGAACGTTATAAACGTGTGAATCTTTGAACGACTCGAGAATAAATTTTTCAATTTTTACATTTTTAGATACTCCAATATTAGAAAAAATGTTTAATTTTTTATAACATTTTACTTTGATCAGTTAGAATATTCTTAATGATGTACTTGATCATTTGATTTTCTTAATTTGATTTTTGCTAGATTCACGGAAGAGCATCTTTGTATATACGAGGTAATGGACTGGGATTACATTTGGCCAAAGGCAAACAGCTTACAAAGACAGATCATGATAAATGGGACATAAATATTACGTACACATCGTCTTTAGATGGATATCAGTGTAAAGTTTTGTTTAGATAAAGACTACCTTCCTGACAATCAACTTCAATATCGTATAATGGTAGACGATCTTCAGGACATGATTGGTGCTAATTTTGCTATACACTTTCCAGTTTTCGGAGGTGTCGTCATATTTCGAAACAGTTCCTGTCTTTTCGGTATACCCTTGGTTCTTCACATATACAGGTGTTATAGACAGTTTTGTTATGAATTCTACAATTCTCGGCGAAGAGAAGAACATAACTCTTTATACACCTCCTAGTTTTAATGAAAACGTGTATAAAACTTATCCGACTATCTTTGTTCTCGATCTCAATTTAGAATTTGCGTATTCATTTCAAAAGAAATTTGAAGAACCGATATACCCACATGCCGTAGCAGACGAATTTATACTGATAGGCTTTGGTGATTATGACTTTGCGGAAGTAGAACGAGTTGATTACTTAACTCCCACAACTGGTCCAACATTAGGTTGTATAAATGGCACATTTGGCAATCGGTGTCATGGATGTGTTCCGGTAGCTCTTCATGAAAATGCACAACAGTTTATAAGATATCTCGAAAGAGACTGTGGAAAATACTACATATTTAGGGGTGATAGTACGTTGGATTTTCTAGAAAAAGAGGCTCTCCCATTTGCAAACAAAATGACATCTATGAGATTGCAAGATGATAATATAGGAGTGATGGGGTATTCTTTAGGTGCACTTTTGTCATGCTATGCTATTTGGACACGCCCAGCTGTTTATTCATTCGCTGCCTGCCAATCACCTCCCTTTTGGATGCCGATAAACAGTACCCATCCTAATGTTACTAATTTTGATTTTCTGACCAGAATACTCAAAGATCCAACATTTCAAGTGAAGCGCCCAGAGCAAAAGATTTATTTCGACGCGGGAGGAGCGGAGACGAATTATCCATACAGAATTACACAAGCGACTATAGAAGCTGCAAAAACCATAACACAATTTCAACATTATGAACTTAACCGAAACGTGTGGATCTTTATTGATCCTGGAAAAGGACATTCCTTTACACAATGGAAAAAGCGAATTGGTCAAGCCTTGACCACCTTGTTACCGGCACAGGGAGCAAAACGCATACCTTCATTAAATGATTTGTCTGTCGGTTAACATAAGCATGCAGACACCAGATTAGCGTTACACTTTAAAAACTCTGTACCTCAAATATTGCATGGTGTTATCTAATAATTCTTTCCTTTAATTAAGAATGGTATCTCAATTTACAGAAATTATAACAAACAGAGTGATATGTTTGGTAAATTATATGAGGATAAATAGAAATTTGTAAATATTTTGCTTGTTCCGCAATAAATGCAAGACTATTGTAGCAAAATTATACTGAAACAAAAGACAATAGTCTTTATACTACAATGTTTTTGCATTGTCATGAGAATAGTGTGTTGTTAGGAACCCGTACATGTACATTATTATGTATGTAACATCCTTATTTTACAACAATCGGAAACTTTACTTAAAAATGCATGCGCTTAAATTTATTTAAAACAACAAAGTTTATAATATTAAAGTTTAGAAAATGACTTGAAATGACATATTTGTCAATTTATCTGTTACCTTTTAGTTTAAGATGTTAAATGAAGTAATAGCCAGAAAAAGATCTCCTCATCTTTTACGGTTACGTCTAGAACAAAACAGCCACAGAAGAAGATATTTCTTAATGCGCCTTTAAACTTTCACAAAAGTGTATACAACTTTAATCCAACTGTCTTTGTATTCGATCTTAATATAAAATACGTATATTTATGCAAAAGAAAGTTTGAAAGACCGATATATCAACATGCTGTTGCAAAACTGGCTTCGGTGATTATACCAGTGATCATAGGGAAAGGACTAACCTACTTACACCAACAGGTGGTCTAATAATAGGCGGCATTCATGGCACTCTAAACGAATAGTATAGAAGCTTTTAACAACAAAAGAAAAGAGTCTCGTTGGAGGCTGTCTAAAGATTATGATTATAGTGGCTTTCCCATCACTGATCAAATTTTCTAGGGCGATTCAAGATAGAAGCCAAAAACCAACTGTCTAATTGATATGATATTCTTTAAATAATAGATATTTCAAACCATTAAATTTTAGATGACTAGGGAAGCAGAGGTAAGAATGCGTCACTTTGTGCAAGCAGATTTAGTTTCGCGTTTAGGGCGGAGCTTCAAAGCGTGCTACAAACGTATACCTTAACCAAGTATCGGCTAAATAGCTCGTTTTTATAGACTTACCCTTTTAAAGTTATCAAATTCAACGGTTGTGTTAACTTCATATCAGTGTTGAAAGCTTATTTTTTCTGGGATTTGTTTGTAGAGTGCGTCTGAACAAACTTCAAAACGAACGTTTTCATGGCAGCTATGTTGTAGAGTATGATAGGTCACGGGGAGGCTGTGCTGTCGTTTTTGGCGCTATTAATGATGCTTTTCATCCGGGACTTGTTCTGATTCAAGGTGATTTGACCGGAAACTTTACAATTATGAAGAACTTGTCCTGTATTCGTACAACTGCTCAATGTTACAGCATCAACTATACGTTGACGTTCTAACATGACATTGACGTGATGGAGACGGCAATTAGAAAACATTTGGTTAGCACGACGTATAAAAAACTTAAAGTTGATAATTTATTGTTCATATTTGGTCAAGAAAAATAAGGAATATCAATGACAATATATTTACATCACTTGTGACGATAAATGTAGAGCTAAACTTAAAGATGTAACCATTGTCAAATTCTGAAACCCGTTTACTTAGTCAGTGCACGTACCCGGTTTTAAATGACACAGGTGATTTAATAAAATATAAAATAGAGAGAAATAAAGAATCCCTAAAGAAAGGTCAACAAGACAAAATTGCAGGCTCGGTTTGATTGAGTCTGTTCATGGAGGTAATGGAAAGTGCAAGTTACCGTCCACGCCCCCTATCACCGGCTTAAGCAGAATTCAACATTTAATCATGTTAATAGTAAAAATTTTGAATTAAGAAACATCCTCAGATGTTTTCATATGGCGGTTATCATGGACCCTTCAATGTGACAAAGTTCCATACTATGAAAAGCGGCGTATGGTCCCCAATTAAAAGAATGCATGGGCCCTAAACGAGAAAACAATGGGCGGAACTAAATAAAATGGAATTTTGAAAACGGATAAGAGGTTAAAGCATGCATATCACAGGAAAGACGTCAAAAGACAAATTAAAAAAAAACAAAAAAAAAAACAGGCATCATATTCTTTGTGTAATTAAACATTATTCAAGTAGGAATATTGAAACCACCCAACTAGAAAAATGCCATAAAGTAAAAACTAAAATACCACAAACACAACAATAATGTCGTGGTGAACGATATTTAAGGATCGAAAATATAACATCCCTGATCGAATGCTAAGGGCGACCTTTTACAGCCACACGTCACAAACAACGCTAATGTGGCGACAAAATAGAGAGAAATAAAGAATCTCTAAAGAAATGTCCAAATAGATATTTAAAGCATTCTGTAAAGATAAAAGGTATTTTCATTGTAAAGCTAAACAAAAGCTGTTTGTTGATTCTAGGAAAAATGCCACGGTTTTCGAATATTTTTTTAAAAAGGTAATAGTAGAGAAACTGCAGATTATCTAAACACTTGTAATGAATTGTATGAATATTTTAAATCTCATGAAGATATTACTAGCGATTAGCAGTTCTTGGTCATTGTGAATCGTAATAACTTAAAGTGTGACGAAATAAACGTTCCTATATCTGATCTAGAACTAGTCAAAGTATAGACCATTTACGTGCAAACTGGTTGACTAAGCCTGATGGTGTTTGCTTAGAAAATTAAATAAATATAATTTTACCTTTTTTAAATGCTTTGTAATGACGTTTTTGAAAACGAAAACTATCAAGATGTATGGAGTCAAGTATTAAAAATCCAATACATAAAAAATGTTCTAAATCAATTAATTATCGAGGTATTTTCTGAATAGTTTCTGTAATATAAAATCTTTGTTAATATATTATTCGTCTTACTAAAAGGTGTGATAACTGAAATGTATTGATAAGTCTCAACTTTTCAACAACCGAAAATATTCAAACTCTAATGTATTTGATCCAGAAGCAATAATAGAAGAAACGGTGTAGATTTTATTAGTTATAAATATAGACATTGGCAAAAACTTTTGACAGTATTCAGCATAAAAATTATTGAATGCATTTTCTAGAAGTAAAAAAAATTAATGGAGTTTTCAGAATAATTATAAAATCCATGTATGCAAAATTTAAATCATTTACTCAATTAAAATTTTCATAAATTATTTAGTTACTTTTCTTCATGAGAAATTAAAGTTTTTCCATTTACAAATATTTAGGTGTATCTGTCACACCAAATTTAGAATGGTCTAAAACATAACAAATGCTTGCACTACAAGATTTTAAAGGTTTTGCTTGTATATTAACTTTTTCCAATAGATATGTCTAAATCTTTTTATTAAATGCTAAAATGTCTTTGACGTTATGCGTCAGAAATCTGGGGCTATAGTGTTATGTTGATAAGATTGAATCTGTGCAAGTTAAATTCAGCAAACAATATTGTATTTTTTTAAAATTACAGCAAGTTATTTTGCTATCGGTAAATGTGGTAAATTACCTTTCTGTACTATCTCTATGACCTAGTGTGTTAAATACCGGCTTAAATTGAGGCGAATGAGGTACCCAATCACAGGTTGCCAAAACATTCTTATTTAATGCTAAAACGACTACACGAATCCGACGAGAGGCATGGGCTGGCAACATTTATGATATGCTTTTCCAATTTGGTTTTGTATATGCATATTAGAAAAAAAGCAGATACATTATATATACCATTGATTATTGGTGAACTATTTTCATTTTTCCAAGATCGCAATTATAAATGCTTTTAAAAATATCACTTGTGTACAGATATCGTAACTCGAGATCGAAATGTCAAGATTCCTACTATTTACTAGTAACTAAAACATGTATTGGTATCTACTCCAAGCGGCAAACATTTAATAGTCGTAGGAGCTCTAAAAGATTCAAGACTTACTCCGCTTTCCATTATTACAACTATTTTAGAGTTTACATAGTGGTTCCTGGACTTCTTGTCGCTGGTTCTTGTTGCTGGGTCGTGAGTTCATTGAACGCCGCCTTTCTTTGTTGATCTTGTCTATCATGTTTTACCTCTTCTGTGGCTTATGTGCAAAAACATGTTCCGAAAAACTAGCTACAGGCAACGTATATTGCCCGCTAAGTTAGAATAACAGAAATAAATCTGGTTCCATCGGCTTTGCACAAGGAAATTATTTATCCGACAAACTTCATAGGGTAATCAACCTTATTTTGCTGAAGATGGAAAATATGTTTTACTTATTAGCTTGGTTGCTGAAATATATCACAGTGTAAATGAACTTGAAAACAGTTTCCGATCAATAGATAAAATGATCAGTTGACCCAAAGCCTTCTTACCACATGGTGCTTTTACACTTATTTATAAGAAGAACTCCACTGATTTTGGGGTTGGATTCTATGTGTTCTATAAATACATGTCCTTTATCCTATTTGGATAAACATCAAAGGATATTTTATCAAATCAGGCTTCTAGACACTTGCGCCAGATAGAAAGTAAATCTGCAAAACAGATGTCACAAGCTTATACAGACAAGTCAATTTCTTGCATATCAGACTGGTGATTCCGTTAACTTATTTACTCTTGCAGGAAATTTCATCTAGCACATTGGTGTCAGATGCGTGTTATGTAATACATGACATGCTTAGGATGACGTGAATTGGCCGTTCTGAATGAAGTAATTATAAATAATTCCATACGCTATTGTGAGAAAATAGTTATAAAGGTACAAACAAAAATCTTTTCATGGAAAATAGTTTAATTAAGAAAAAGCATTTAAAATTTGATGGACTATGGTAGAACATGCAAGAACATATATTTAACGTATGTTTGCTGTTCTAATCGGAATATACGGTATTTCGATCTGAACCGCAACATATCAAAGATAGTATAATTCTTAGAACAAGATTAAGCACTTTGTATAATGTCATAAGTCGACATGTTGTCTCTTGGAAATGGTGTCAACTCAGTGTACTGTTGTGATGGATTCTCGTACACACCCGGAGTAGATTCTTGTATTTCATGTTCATTCGATGTATTGTCAAAGCTTTCGATGTTACTGATGAAAACATAAAAATACTAAGTGTATTACATGCTTTCTGTTTGAAAAGAAAGTAATATTCATATTTTAATAGGTTTTGTGGATCATGTTTTTTCAATCATGCGTGCATCTTTATTTGGTAAATATATTTTATTCTGATCTTCATAACTGTTTTGAAAGTGTAGCTGAAAGGAAAGAAATGGTATTTAATTGCAAATTTATCAAGGAAAACTATTGTCTATAGATTTATAAACTAATAAATTTTACGCTTGACCGTTTTGATGTAAATGTTCTTTCTAAAGAACCATATTTTTGCAAACCATCTTTTATCGCATCTTTTTACGAGTAAAGAAAACCCTTACCTTTTAGGTGATGATGAATGGGATATTTTGGTATCTACAATATATTAAATTAAAACATCTTGATTGCGGTGACATGATTTTAGTATTTTTATGTATAGTTTATTATAATTGTGTTTTTCTCTCTAGCAATAATGTAAATATTATCTTGTAGACAGTTCCAAGCTTTCTTAAAATGTATTTACAATTTAAGGCTTGTATTCGCTTGCTAAAGTATTTGTACACTGGAATTATAAAACATATGTAGCAAGTTATGCTTGTCAAAAACGTTCTAGTCCATTAAACGAAATAAACATACCGATACCTCAGCTTAAATTTGACATAAAACGCATCCCTTTCAATGATTTTTATAACTTGCACTCGTAAGAAAACAGAACATTGTTAATTGCACCAGTATGTGTTGTTTGATTATCAGATGTAGTCTGAAATATCATCGTGGCTAACATATAAATATAGAAAAGATAATGATTGTTAATAAATAAATGACAAACATTTGTCAGATTTCAATAAATCTTTTACCTTTCCTCGTAGTTTTACGTTTCAACCAACATGCGATAAGAACTGCAAAAACAATACCAACGACAATAACCACCGCCAGTATGATCGTGACTATCACAAAAGTGTTACATTCGGCATCGACTTCATGCGGTAAGTCATCATTGACTCCGACATCAACTTTGGTGTTATCTGATAAATAAGTACGAAAAAGAAGAAGAATATGATGGCGTATTGAATGGTTTCCCTCGCAAAGTAACTTTAAAAGTCTAAATATTAAATTAATTTAAGTTACATTTATGACATGAACATGCTTTTAAAAATGTTGAATATAAACTAGAGATTATTGTTTGTAATTTATATTGATACCTTTTTGACCGAGAAAGTAGTACTGATTATATGTGCCGATGTTGTTCGTAACTGTCAGTCGATATTTCCCGAAGTTTTCCCGTGTTATATTAAATATTGTAAGATTTGTTTGTAATTTTGCTGATGATATCTGTAGATCTTCATTACTGAGTAAGGGTATCCATTCATTGAAGGTCTCTTTGTACCATTTAAATCCTTTAGATCCAGGTGTTGGATATGCTATAGAAGAAAACGTTAGTGTAGCAAAAGCGCCTATTGCACTTGTCACATTTGATTTGGTGAATCGTACAGACCTTGGAGAACCTGGAGAGTAAATATAGAATAAATTCTTTGATATTTATAAGTTCAGCAATTTCATTGGCCAAAAGGATACTTTATTAGGATATGTACAGGGAAAAAATGTTTTAAAAATCTCCAGAATGGTTTTCTACATTTGTTGTACTGTATGTTTATAAATGTTGAATAAATACACAATATCGCAGACAGCCCTCAAGTGGCTTTCCTGCAATAATTGTATGTTATGGACCATTATTATACCGCAAAAATAAATGCCGGGAATTCTGCAAAGCATGTTCGCGTAAAGAAAAGAAATGAACTTACATTTGACAAACAAAATAACAGTCCGTTTTGTTATAACCCCAAGTATATCTTGTCCCTCACAAGTATATACACCACCATGCATGCAAGCCACACTCGTACGAAGAAAATTAAGATTGTTTGTGTTCGTGTCCTGAATTAAAAGTTTTCCTTCGAACTTCATTTTCACACTAGATGCAGGGTTTCCACTAATGATACATATCAGTTGCAAATCGACATCATTTTCATCAACTGTAACATTAGTTTTTCCTATATGCCCGTCAACATACAATGACTTCACAGTGGCTCGTTCTGGATAAACGAACGATGTAAAACTAAATAACTTAATACATGTATATGATTTGATTAATGATGTTTGACAATTCTCTATATAATTAATGATTAAATTATAAGACGGTGTTAAAAAGTATGAACGGTAGATTGCATTTGTAAATGCCGCCCTCAGAACATCATCACTTTCATTTTTGCAGTGTTAATCGCCCTATTTAATATCTATCTAATGTAATCTGTTTTTATGTTCACGCAGTAACTTTAATAGTGATAACACTGATTTTGTTTCATCACAGACATCTTGTAGATAGATACAAAAAGCTTTTAATCAGAAAATATTTAAAATATTGGTGCACGTTATATAAAGATTTTATTGTCAATTTTTAACATAAAGGTTTTTGAAATAAGTTTTCAACAACATTCATATATCATTTTATGAATAATATTTTTCAAAAGCTTTACCCTTGAACCTTCTCGAATGGACTTGGTCAATTGTCATTTGTAGAACCAGTCATTATCAATTTAGAGATATCAAATCAAACAGTATAGAGACTAGTTGACTTTATAGATTTGCATGCTGGACTATCTCTATATCGACATCAAAATTGAGAAAAATAAGAATCCGTAAAAAAAGTCCAAAACAACAAAATAAACATGAAAATGGTGAAATTTTGAATTTTGAAACATCCGCAGATGGGTTCATACAGCGGTTATCAGAGAACCTTTGATGCGACACTTTTGTGCCATTCCATGAAAAGCGGCGTAGGTTCCCCAAGTTATAGTATGTGTGTGCCCTAAACGAGAAAACAAGTGGCGTAATTAAACAAAATGGAATTTTGAAAGGCTAATCACTTTCGGTTCCAATAGGGTAAACATTATCAAATAGACATTTACTGTTGTTTTGTTTTTCTGATCCTCCGGAACTTTAAGTGTTGATAATTGAGTACCGCTCAAGCCGGTGCTCAAGGGCGTCAGTGATGTTGCACTTTTTCATTATCCCTTATGTACAGACTCAATCAAACCGAGTATGCACTTTTCATGTTTTATACAAATCAAATGAAATCATGTACTCTTTACATTAAAGGTCCTTTGTGCCTCATAAATGTTACCAATTTAATTTCCCAAAAGCTGTTTTTGTATCTTGTAACAGTTGTAAAATTAATCTTGATTTGCCTCATACATAGACTTTCCACTAGAGCTCTGTTGGCAATCGGTATTATTATAGTGAATTAGTATTTTGTGTGGAAGTCAAAATACTTTTTTGTTTACATTTTGTTACCTCTATGACACATAACTACAAGCTCAGCACCGCTTTCGTCAATGGTAAACATCTTACATTCCCTTAATTTATTATTCAAACACAATTTAACACATGTTTGACATTTCTCGAGAATAAAAAAAAAGATTTTCTGAAGGATAGTGTGCCTTTAATGAAACATTGAAAATATGTACCTTTTACATTTAGTAAAACTCTGTTTGAAGACACAGCTTCATTTTCTGGCTGAATGTTGAAGGCCTTGCAATAAACATCTTTTCCATTATCTTCAATTTTGGGAATTAGTGCAAAGTTTGAGTTTGAAGAATTTAATACTCTTTCTTTTTCTTCTTGTCCACTATACCATATAACTGTTGGCGTAGGTCTACTTTCACTAGGTGTACATGTCATATTGCTCAATATACCAACTGTGACATTGATTGTACCCACTAACGAGGTATTTCCACTTACCAAAGACACACTTGTCACTTTAACTGTAAAATGTTACGTGTTTTAGTAAATTACCTTACATAAAATATGTTTATTTGTTAACGACACATTTGCCATTTTATCTGTTATTTTAAGTTTTAGAATATTTGGTATTATCTTATGAAATATGAGAACAAAATTAATATAATGACAAACAGTATTTGTAATCATTAATGATTTTATAAAATAAGTTTTTTTATTTTGATCGATAACTAGTTAACATTCTTTAAATCTAACATAGTTTGTTGATACTAAATTTAGTAACTGTAATAACTTATAGACATATAAATATATGAAGAGTATCCATCATCCAAGCTTCATAAGTTCAAAAGAACAAACAACAAGATTACCAGCAAATCTAATATTCACGGAAGGTTGTGAAAGTAGTTCACTGGTTGAATCATTTCCAGACACTATTCCACATTGAAACCTGACGGTTTTATCTGTGTTCTCGTTACCAACCGTGTATCTTTGTAGTAATAATGTTGATGTGTACACGGCTTCAGAGTCTGTACATTGTCCAGAAGTTTCCTGAATAGCTCGTGATGTCGGCCATGTATGGCGTGATTCACCAAACTGATATAATAAAAATGCAGTTATCGTTTTGATAAAGAACATACACTTTTATTGTACACCTCGAAAGCGTTTATTCAAAGAATATCAAACGCAAGTTTAACGTAAATTCAAATTCAAAATACATATCTTTCATTCTGATTGATAAACTGTAACCAAAGAAATTATATGTCGTCACCTCGTGTCTTTTGTTTTTCTTCCTAAACCACACGTGTAAATACTGCCATAAAATGCGGTGCGTTTATAAGAGTTATTTAAATTACAGATTATTTGTTTGAATTGAAGAAAAAAATCAATTAAAATTTTACCTCGGACATATACCATGTAAAGGAAGGCGCGGGGTAAGCACATCCAGTACTGCATTTCAATATCACCGAATTATAAATGAGATCTTGATCCTGGGCTGGGGGATTATCAAACTGTAGCATCTGTGAGATGGCTGGAAAAAAAACGAACAAATTAAAAAGCTTCTAAATAGATGAACCATGCATTTCAAGGATTATAGTTTTACATATAGCATGTCGGCCTCATAGAGATATTTGACATACAGTGTAAAAGTATTTGAATTGCTCACAGTGAAATAACATAAATGACAGTTTCTAATGCTCGACATCAAATAAGTTCTACTTTTTATGATGAATAGTTATGACATGATTTGCTGAGGATTGAATTTTGTAACATTAATATTGTCGTTTAACCAAATATTTTTGAACATGCTTTATCTGCAGTTTGTTTGTTTTGGTAAAAAATGAATGTCGACATACATTTTGGAAGATATTCTTACTGTACACAGTAACTTTCAAGTATTTTCTTTGGTTATTGATTGCACAGGTCCACCACTTCTGGTCTTCTGTTCTATTCAGGTTAGTGACTGTAATAGTAAGACCACTACTGTTTGGGCTGAATGTATGTCTTTGTATATTCCCGTAACACCGAGTTGGAATACAAGTTGTATATGTTGAAATAGTTGAAAGGTCTGTAGGAGGAACGGAGTCTGTTTTATGAAGCCTTACAACGTCGCCGCTAGTAAACTGTGAAATCTCACATATAATTTGTATATCACTTCCTTTGATTGTTGGCGTGTTGTCCTTCACAAAAACTCTTGTCACCATGGCTATTAAATATGATTCAAGTACAATACATACCTTTACCTATGTTAATACGTTCTCTACACATTTAATAAATTTCTTCACTGTATCGTACAACAGTATTTTCAGACATTTTATTGTGTTTTCTTACAATAATTTTAAAACTTAAGTACATATGATTTGAAACGTTAAATAAAGTAAAACTGTATAAGTGTTTAGCATATTTGTGGTAATCTAAGGATCACTTATTACAATATATGTAGCATAGAATATTGAATACTGCTAAAACCGATGCTGATTGACATTAGAACTGTTGAACAGAGATCTTTTATTTCATTGATCTTGCAAGTTCCCCTCTTACAAAATCAGTGTTTACATAAAGTAAATAAATAAATAAATAAATAAATAAAAAATATTTCATAAATGTAATATACATCGTTTGAACGGACCGTTTAGACATGTACACAACTGGTGTACTTACACAGTTAGATCAGTGGCGAAATAAAGTAAACACAATATAATTTTATATCCTTACCATAATATAAGCAACAATGTATTCAACTATTACCTGATTTCCCGCCGGTTAAAACTCCTGACAAAAGATATAAAACTAATATTACACTTAAACTATTTCTTTTCATTTTGATTAATACTTTAATAATACATTCATGCTAGAAATATAAACACCCATAACTTACATTACAACAAGGAAGTTTTAATACAATTTACCGACTTTTAAACTGCAGATGAAATACAAATAGTATATTTATGGATTAGCTATTCAAAAGATGTGACTAAACAGTTTTAAGTGAATGGCCTCCTTACCATCATAAATCGATCGATAAAATAACTACTAGTCGTTTGGACTAGAGTTCTGGGGTCACGTAATTTACATGTTGAATATTTAATTAAGTAGTTTGTTAAGTTTTCTTTCTGTAATCTAAATATCCTTCATTGTTCATCGGTTAATCATTTTTTGCATTTAAATACTTTTTTATTTGTACTTACATTTAGCATATGTCTCATTATTAAGTGCTGTATTTAAACGAGATGTATACGGAACATTTTTGTTCCTGTTTTATTTCTCTTTGTTAAAAATCATTTTTGATCAACATTCAAACACTTCGTCTCGTTTGTAAATAGATTAATAACTTCTTGTCATTCATCACAATAGTGCAAGTGCTAACTCAGTCAATTTTAAGTTTGATTCAAATTCTAAATATTTAATATAAAGTATAATAATAAATTTCCGTTTTTTTTGCTCAACATATTATTTTCTTCATTCCTTATCTGACTAGAAATGTCCATGTTTTACGTTTTGTATATTTTTATTTTGACAATATGAGGTTAATTTGGATCCAGCATTTGTGGTGTGTTTTGATTACGAGATTGTGTCCGTCTGTCCGTAGTTGTTTTTCTTTTGTAAAAAAACAATCGTCAACGGTAATGATGGGTATTAATAATTGTGTAGTAGCATTGCGGATGGCGGTTGGTTTATTATATAACGGTACACAGGGTGTTAAGAAGTCTAGTATATACTAGAAAAAGGAACTGAAATGTACTATTATCGTATAAGGCATCAGCCTAGTGAATTTTCGTACTCTTTGTTCTATAGTAAATCAGTCACATTTGAGGCTTAATTCTGGATTCCACTGTTCTTGTTGAATTATATACAGTCTTCATCTTTAAACATCACACTATCTAAGTCAAATTATGCCCGAAATATAATGTGTTTGCCATCTACTTTTTCATAAATCTTCATTCTGTTGTAACATTGTTTACATTCACCACTTAAAAAACTCCTGAATAGTGGTGGCTCATTCCGCCAACAAATGAGGTCCTAGAGAATACACAAAAAACAACTTTTAAAGTCACCATATAACACAAAAAACTACACAGATGCAAAAAAATACACTTCAATTATGACAAATCAAGCTAGAGATTACTTAAACTAGACCACTTTAAAATTTAAAAGAACTACATTCTTGACTACAACGGGTCCGGTCTAATTCCGTACCGGGTTGAGACCATAAGACGTAATTTTTTATGCAAGAATAGCATACGTATTTTGTCCTGCATTAACATCTGCAGAAGCCTTAGAATTTATTAAATCTCTCGCCTGCGGATTCGGGCTTAAAATGCTTCCACGTGCTCAGAGGGATGTTAATGCACAAAAGGTGCAATGATCCTCTATTATCTACACTTCCGAACATGTCCATTCAAATTGTATTTTCTGTTTTCAAACATGTTACACAAGTATAACTTTGTCAGCCATTAAATGCTCTGTTAATATGTCATATATGTATTTTGATAATATTGAGAATCCCTCAATTATTAAGCCTGCTGGCGGGAACTAAATATATGCGAAAAGTGTAGACCAAGTCAGTACTGTAAAAAAATTCTACAAATGAACTGTTTTTGAATTTTGGCTTTTTATCACAAGGAAAGATTAACAAATAAACTTTCTTTTTGATAAGATTGGTGTGTTTTTGCAGTTCAAAAATGCAGTTAATATTTAGTGTGTTATTTCAACTTAACAGTCTTTAGTAATAATGCTGACAAGAGGAAATGAGGAGACAATAAGTGTATTCTTCAACTTGTCTTTGTAACCATATTTTAAGCACTTTCAAAATTCTATAATGTATTGTGTTCAAAACAAAGTCGTTATGGTATCTGTTTGAAATAATAATGTAAATAATTAACCATACTAGTTTGTCCTGTAAACAGGACAATCATATAACGAGTAACACCAATGTCAAGAACATATTACAATGAAGCAATCAATTTAACTTCCAAATACAAAACTTTCAGAAAAAAGAACATTTTAATGACTTTTTCATATTATTTATTTAATCAGTCTTCATTTCGAAAACAAAAATATTATAATTAAGATAATTATTACAAACATACTACAATTAAATAAGTACCTAGATCTCTGTACACGTGCTTTTCGCAATCCTTATTATCTGTCCTAGGATGCATGTATAAGTTGTTGCTGAAAAATAATTTGTGTATGCTATACAGTAGGATGTAGGAAAAAGTTCGAACATTTACAAATAAATCTCTTTTTTTTAATTTTAGTGAGAGTCATTTGCAAATAGTGACTCACTCTGTACGTAACTTGACATTTTTGATAAGTAATGGAGGTGGTACATTTCTTTTATGTGATGAGTAATGGTATCTTACAAAGTAAATATTGAAATTTTATTAGGCTTTATGTCATTTTATAGTTTCATATGTTTAAAGATATAGGTACATCATCCATGAATGTATAAAGAAATGGAGTTCAGACTTTAACTGCATGACGGCACATGTGAGTATTGCTTCCATAATGACATTTTTCTGGTAAAAAGTAGCATACAAGTAAAAAATTGCTGGGAAATGCAGCAATGTGATTGTCACGGCGAAAAAAAAGAAAAAATACAAAAAAAAAAAAAAACAGTTATAAGTATAATGTTAAGTATATCTCCAAATAGCATTGAGTTTAATTGACAGGTTAACTTGTAAAGAAGGTTTTTAAGTATTGTAATGTAACTAATGTTACAAGAGCCATGCATATATAGTAGAGCAGAATAATTTATCATTCTTGTTGTACTGCATAGTCCTCTTGAGTGAGATCTATCCACATATGAAGTTTCATGTTGATATCTCAAAGGCTTTTGTAGTTATGCTCTGGACGAAATTAAGTATGAAAAGTAACAAAGGGCAATACCTGTAAAATAATGCACGGTAGATGTGTGCCGCACTCCTCCTCAATGAGATTTATCCACCTATGAAGTTTCACGTTAATACCTCTAACACTGTTGAGATAAGCTCCGGACAAAAAGTTTGAAAAAATAACAAGGGCAATAACTCAAAATTATAAAGGGTATCATTCTTGCGCAACAACATTCCTCCTCAATAAGATCAATCCACCAATGAAGTTTCATGTTGACATCTCAAAGACCTTTTGAGTTATCCTCCACTCAGGTGAAAAATTAAGTATGAAAAAATTGTACAAAGGGCAATTACTCAAAAACTATGAAGGATAGAGTCATCACTCTTTTGCACTGCACACCTCCTGAGTGAGATCTATCTACCTATGAAGTTTCATGTTGATATTTCAATGGCTTTTGTAGGTATGAAGTTGTAACCTCTAACAATTTTTGAAATAAGCTCGGGACAAAAAGTATGAAAAATAACAGAGGGCTATAACTCAAAAAATTATAATGGGTAAAGTTATCATAACAGAGGGCTATAACTCAAAAAATTATTTAATGGGTTAAAGTTATCATTTTTTTGTGCACAACATTCCTCCTTAATAAGATTTATCCACCTATGAAGTTTCATGTGGACATTTCACAAGCTTTTTTAGAAATATGCTCCCACTCAGGTGAAAAATTTAGTATGAAAAATAACAAAGGGCAATAATTCAAAAATATGAAGGGGTAGAGTTATCACCTCCTGAAGTAAGATCTATCCACCTATGATGGTTCATGTTATATCTCGAAGGCCTTTTGTAGTTATACTCTGGGACAAAAATTAAGTATGAAAAATAACAAAGGGCAATAACTGAAAACAATGCACGGTAGGTTATCCAATTCTTGCGTGCTGCAATCTCCTCAATGAGATCTATCCACCTATGAAGTTGCAAGTTATTCCTCTCTTACACTATTGAGATAAGCTCCGGACAAAAAGTATGAAAAATAACAAATGTCAATAACTCAAAAATTATAAAGGGGTAGAGTTAACATTCCTTAGTGCACAACATTCCTCCTTAATAAGATATATCCACCTATGAAGTTTCATATTGACATTTCAAAAAGCTTTTTTTAGAGATAATGCTCCACTCAGGTGAAAAATTTAGTGTTGAAAAATTAAAAAGGGCAATAACTCAAAAATATATGAAGGGTAGAGTTATCACCCTTATGCACTGAAACACCTCCTGAGTGAGATCTATCTATATATGAAGTTTCATGTTGATATCTCAAGGCTTTTGTAGTTATACTTCTGGACAAAAATTTAGTATGAAAAATAACAAAGGGCAATAACTTAAAAATAATGCACGCTTCGGTTATCACTCTTTGTGTGCAGCAACTCCTCCACACCTCAATGAGGTCTATCCACCTATGAAGTTTCAAGGTGTTACTTCTAACACTTTATGAGATATGCTCCCACTCAGGTGAAAAATTTAGTATGAAAAATAACAAAGTGGCAATAACTCAAAAAATACATGTATGGAAGGGTAGAGTATTCACTCCTGAGGAAGATCTACCTCTATAACATTTAACAATTTTGAGATGGATATGACTACTCGGACAAAAAGTATGAAAAATAAACATAGTCACACAATAAAAATTTAATAATCATCATACAGAGTTTATCATTCACTCTTATTAATTAACAGCCAACATATACGCATCATCATTAGAAGTATCAAATCACATCCAGTGAATGAGTCATGTTGTCTCAAAGTATATTTTTTATTTAGTTTATCGCTAACTATCGCGCGCTGAGATATTAACTATAGTATGCAAATTACATAAGAGGAGCATATTACTACAGAATAGTATGAAGGGGTAAGATGTTATCATTTTATTGACTCACAAATGCCCCTCTATGTAGTGGATGCTTAGTCATCTAGAAAGGCATATTTGACATTATTTGCCTCTGAGGTACTAAATACATTGAGTTTTATAGATAAAATATACACTAGGGCAAATAACTGAAGAACATTATGTAAGGGTAGATTATTCATCATTAGTTTGTGCACTGCAATTTCTCCTACACATACTGATTTATCCGCACCCTAATGAAGTTTGAACAAGTTGCATAGCCTCAATACCTTTTTAAGAT